AAGGCTGAAGAGGGGCATTCTAGTGGGACCTGTTGGCACTACATTCCTCATAGAAGCCCACCACACCTGCTCCACGGGATAGATCTTTACAGAAAACAGTGGGTAAAATGGACGCTTTCTATTTGTTGTCGCCCAGTCAGTTCAGTACAATTCAACATACGTCTTCGACAAATATCCCGGATGCTTTCGTGCACACTGGGATTTACTTTAAATCCAACCGCTGCACACCAACCGCGTCCCATGCATAAACAGTTCGCTCGGTAAAAAAAACAAACTGAAACCAGGCTGTCCTACCCTCCTCTTCCATCTTTAACCGATCACAACCCACGGAATGAGTACCAGTGGAACGACCTGGATAAGCATAATGGATGCTGTGCCGCCGGTGCAAAAAAGGGAACACGATCTTCCTCGGTTATATGTTTTCGTGTTAGGAATCACTGATGTTAGTTCACTCAGCCTTACAGCCGATCCGTGTCAGCAGTATACGGTCTACGGTGTGATGTGTCAGCTCTGTTTCGGATGGGGGCTAGGATGACAATGAAACCGGAGCATCGAGTCTTGTGCAGAGCAGACTGGACCACAATGAGGATGAATTTGGGGGAGAAATACTCACGAAATTTGTGAATTAGGAGTAAAGTGATTTGTGGATTTCTGATCTGAAGACGAATGCCTTCTCCCAATCAGGTCACTTTGACTGATTGCAGTTCACGCGAGGACAGTCGGCCCGTGAAAGCAAGCCAAACCTTTCAGCGACCGGTGCCCAAGTACCGGCCTTCGGGGAAATCAACAGCCAGAGCTTACTCCTCCAATGGACCACTCAGTGAACCCAGTTTGGTGTTTAATTTTTTCTGACGACGCACAGTGCACATTGTTGTCGGATGGTAGCGAGGCACCTGTGACCTCTGGAGGACGCAATTACGCTGACGGCGTCCTCAAGGGGATGAGTGACCTTGTGACCGCGCAGACTTGGAGACGCTCCCAACAGCAATATCTGAGATAATTTTCTACGCGCAGTGAACTCCGACGTTGCCTGACAAAGTGCTATTTAAGCAGTGCCCGTCGCCGTCTTCCACCCTATTGTTCGCCGTCTTCCTCGTCGCCCTCCTTCTACGCTATGTCCAAACGCGAATCCGTCACTATTCCCATCAAGCTGTTAGCTCACCTGCTCAGAAGAACTGTTGGCGCCTCCGAAAAAGTAGTGATTCAACTGACAATACACAGACGACCAAGGTCTATGATCGGAAAGTTCAGTGGCAAAGATTAGGGGTCGGGAATGGAGGGCCTGATCGAGTACTCGACTAATGGGGACCAGTTTCGGTTGGATACCAGTGTCGCAACACTCCGTTACTGATGCTAGTATTATTGCAGTTAGTTACCCATATTGTAAGCGTTGGTAGAGTAGCATTGGCAGCCGTGGTGGCGGTGGTAGTAGTACTTATAGTAGGATTATTAGTAGTATTCGCCGTATCAGTGGTGGTAGACGGGGGATAAAGTTTTCTTCAGTGTTGCGACACTGTATTCCCGCCAGTGGTAGTAGTATTAGTAGTAACAGCGGTAGTAGTGGCAGTAGTAGCAGTAGTAGTGGTGATGGGAGTAGTAGTAGTAGTAGTAGTCCGCCCGTAAGACAGGCTGGTGGGGGAATAGACAATTCTAAGTGTTGCGACACTGTATTCCCGCCCCAGTTTCCAAGTAGTATCTACAAGGCCCATTGAGTGAACGCCCCAACGCCGATTACAAAGGTCAGCTGTCAGTTTTGTCAGTCTTCCGGCATACGCGAAAAAAAACCATATAAAAGATAACATTAAAAACAGTCCAGATGAAGAGGGCAGCGTTCACTGTTTACCGATTCTGCAGATAAGAAGAAGTTTAAGAAAGCGGAAAACCGGACAACGCATGGTAGGCTCTGAGAGACAAACCTTAAAGGCTTCCCACATATCAGCATCAGGATAATTGGATGTCTTCTCCGAGTACCGAGACATCATGCGAAGGAACTCGTCGTACTCTACCGTTCCATTGCCTACAAAAGGGGGGACAGCGAAATAAGGAACGTGAGGGTGAAGTAATAGGGTCTTAGCAGGGCACAATTCCGACCAGAATATGCAACTAGGCCAGAACAGGGAGTACCACTCCAAGGCTGGGAGAAAACTGATCCCCCTCGGTCGACAGAAAGTGGACTCATCACCGGGGGGGAATACAGTCTGGATCGCTGCATCGTGAATGAATTCTGCACACACCAATTTAAATGTTAGGGCTTTCTGGCTCAGAGGCGCGATGTGCAGGCAGCAAGCAAGCAAGCATTTATCCTTTCAGCTTTTTCGCCTTTGCCAATTCACTTACCTTATACCGTCTCTCAGTCGCCATTACGTAACCACCCGTGAGAGCACCCATGCAAACCCGTGTGAACACTCCACAAGCATACTAGATCGACAAGAAATTATGTCAGATATCAAGGCTCGTAGAAGAGGGAGAATGGCTGTCATAGGTCGTAATGGGAGAGTTAAATGGGTACCGATCGACAGGGTCATTTTTTCTCTCAGAATCGCATTTGCGTGGAGATGTGCACATCCGGGAATGACAAATCACAACATCGGAGGGAATGCCTTGCGACTTATAGCCGGGCCCAGGCGCATCTCTGTTCCAATCGACAGTGCCGTGGTAACCTCCCGGAGCAGAACTTCCGTAGGCCACAGGAACGTTTAATTCGGCCCAACCTTGCCTGTATGAGTCCTGCGTCTTATTTATTAGATTTCATTGTTGGGGAGATTTGTCTGGTTTCTCGTCAATCAAGCTGCTAGCCACAGGATACCTTAACGTTTGGACCCGAATGCTACAACAACCCGAGAATTGCAAGCTGGATAGCAGGACGGACGAGGTATAACCAGATTTAGGTAGAATGGTATTACCGAAAAAGGCGAGGGAGACTGTAATGGCTATTTATGGAGTATTAGCCGTCGGTAATACCATTCTGCCTATATCATGCAGAATGTATTACAGATGGCCTTTCGCTATAGTTCACGGAAACGGACATATCTAGAATGGCATTACCGATAGAGACAAGGGAGACTGGAATGACCATTTCTGGCTTATTAGCCGTCGTCAGCCAGTCATGCCAACCCCGAGGTGTGGGACACCGGAGGTTCGTTGTGGCGACCTGTTAGTTAGAAGTGCAACGTCCCTAGCCACTGGGCCACGGGCCCGTTTTCTTGTCGTTTGCGAGCGGGAATATAGAATGGTAGAGGGGGCGCTCACCGATCGTTTATACGGAACTCACTCGTCCCGTTGTGACACTACGAATCCCAGGTGTTCCACGCATCTGGGTGACGAGCCCGTGACTCAGTGGTCAGACGCATTGGACTAACAGGAGTCGAGTTCGAGCCCCAGGTATTTCGCACTTCGGGCTTGAGTAGGACTGGCTGACGACGGCTAATAAGCCAGAAATGACCATTCAAGTCTCCCTTGTCTTTCTGCCTATATCATGCGCTGCTGTGCGGCTGCTAGTTTGGCTCAAGAGAGAGCCCGTAAGGCACAAAGGGACGAGTGAGTGCCATAGAAACGATCGGTGAGCGCTCCTCTACGTAACCCAGATCTCTTTGTTCAATGGATAATAGTAACTAAATCCACATTTAGACCGTCAGGAGGCCCCAGCAGGTAGTCACAGCGCCAGCTACCTTACTGATCCAAAAGGCAAAAGTTTCGCTTGCTTTGGAAATCAATTCCAATCTGAATGTCTCAGGTCCTATGACACCCGGTGGTTGTTTTGCCTGCTCCAACGTTTAATTATGTGACGAATGGCTGACCTAGGAGTTTCGGCCATCGAAAGGGCAGCGAGCTCCGTGGTGACATAATAGTAGGACTTGTCCTACACCACGAATGAGGCAGAAGTAACAGGGCAGTCGAGTGATAATTGCTCCTTCAGGCACACAACTCAAGCAGACCATGACGTGGCAACGCGATCGGAGGGGCACAAGCCCGTAATTACGCAGCGCCATCAGTCGTGGCTAATAACTAATGTGATGGACACTAATCACAGCCTTGACTTCTCTGAGACACGGATTAGAGGGCTGTAAAATACCCGGTCCTCAGACCCGGGTGAACTTTCAACCTCCCGTAATTAGCTCCATGCAGTCGCCTGCCAGGAGGAACGGTTCGGGGCACTTCTCAGTCTAATTCGCTGGCTTTACCGGCAACTGCTCATCCGGTCGCAGGCTTTACGGTTGTTTATTACCTAAGGTTACTTAGATTACTTAGGTAAAACTCAAAACAGTAACGTTGCCTCGCCTCCTAGTAATGTCCTATCTACTCCACCATCTGACGTATTTGCCTGTTGACCTTCAGCGAACAGACTGTTGTTAGTGACGACCGTCGGCATCTTTTTGCTCAAGCCATCCGGACTGCCTCCTCCTTGAGAGCAGCATAAACTGCGTCCTTAGATATGCGCTGATTAGGCTGCCCCAAAGCGTTTGCGTATCTGTCAGGCCGAAGGAGGAGGGGGAGTTATGGCGTAAAAACCCGGCGACTAACGAAGGAGGCTACGAAACTGCACGCCCCGCGCCCCCCCCCCCGCAAAAAACAGTCCCGAGATGGAAGTGGGGATCCATCGCCTGCTGTTAGCGCAACTAGTAGTTGCAGAAAAGTAGGAAGTCGCATATGCGGAGCAGGTTGGGTGATCGGGCGGAAGGAACGTGGATAGGCTACGTCTAGCGGCCTGATACTATTTTTGGCGAAAGAGTCCTCATCGCTGGAGGATTACTGCGTGAGGAGGTCAGGCGTTGCGATCGACGATGACGGCGTGTGTGGTCTAGCAAAGCAGACCTAGCACACATACTTGTCGTTGGGGCTTTTTAGTACGGCAATTCAATCATGCAAGGCTCCCAAATTTCCTGGAATGATTCCCACGGAAAATATTACTTTGGCGGGGTGTTAAATCCAATTATCATTGGACATGACCTTGAGTTGATTTCCGGTGGATGGGGGGGGGGGGTGATTAGATTTGTTTTATTCTTTTGCATAAATTACACATGTCCGCCGATGTACAACAGCTACTAAGGTGTCATCGTGCGTTATAGAAAGAGGCATATCGGCTGTCAGAATTCACAAACGCCGATGTACTTTTAAACAAGACCTAGGTCTTCACATGCACTTAAATTTTCAAAAGTACACTACACGCACTTCTTATGGAACAAATTTATATAACCTTACACATCAACACAGAGAAACCTATCAGAAGTCCGCAGGACAGTTAAATAAATATGGATCAACTTGTACAACCGGTAGGCGGCACTAAGATATTAGAGCACTGTAGACACCCTGACAAATCAAACGTGCGTATTAAACATTCACACAATGGGAAACTTAGAAACCCAAATACTACTTTCAAGCAAGCGCAAAAATGTAAAGAAAATACACTGGAAGGGGAGGAGATATTGGCAAATGTGCAGACAGACTGCTCCAGTGCTGGTTCGGGCTTACCCAGCCTTCGTTGATCTGATCATCAAGCTGGTTTAGAAACGGAAATGTACGCACCCCTACCCAGAGCGCGGATGGCTAACAATAGGGAGTCTATCAGATGTGTCATAGGCCATCGAACCGCGGTCCATCAGTGCCTCGCCACTCGGCCATCTCTTTGCTCACATAGGAGCCGAGGGGACCCGGCGACCCACTGACTTCGCTCAACAACAAACTCCGAATGGGTGGCAGGGAAGGGGGACAAACAAGCAACCACTTGCCAGGCCGAACTCGGTCGCGCAGAAAGAGCGAGCAGAGTGCGATTTCCGGCAATGGAGAACACCGGGCAACAAAACACTGATGAACCTGGCTTGGATGAGGTGCTTATGGCTCCTTCCATAGACCTCTTCTGTGGACAATTGGAACCGTGTGTGCGTGCCCCAAAATGGGCCACATTGTAGGGGGCGCTGGACAACGACGGGAACAGGACAGACGTTATTTGGGATGCGCCCTCATAACAAAAGTACAACTGGAGTAGGGGGAGAGGTGACACGCCTTGGTGAACACTCACACCGAACCAGTCACCTGCACCCAATCTCGCCTCCCGTCTTTTTGACTTTGTCATGAAACCGGGCCCAGATGGGGGAGGAGAGAGTGCGGTAAGTGCAGCTAAAATCTATTACCAATGCAAATTGATCCACACACAAGTCACCGTCCCTGCGTCCATCCTGCTATGTGGCACACGGTGGACAGCGTCATAAACGGTGGTCGAACCGTCGTATGCGTGTGTCCAATCACAGCACCCGTTGGGTGACAGGTTCGGACAGTCGACTGATGCATGGGTGAGGGAGGAGAGAGAGCGAGGCTGAAACTGAGAATCTATCCTCACGAAAGATGCTGTCTGGCGGTAAGGTAGTCCGGCTGTAGCGGTTCCTTCTCAATGTGGACTTTATGGCGTTCTCACCCACGTGGGATCCCAAAGGGTCCTTAGTGTAGCCTGGGAACCTGGTCGTTTGTGTATCATACACAGACGGACCGTTAGACTGTGTCCTCGCCCACTTTTGGTCGTCTGGACGCTTTCTTGCCATTGAAGCAGGGTGGGTGAGGGAGGAGTGAGTGTGGTCTATGTCATGCAAGCCACAAGAGGACTGATAAAGCAACCTTTGGGCACTTTGTGCCCAAATGCAGCCTCTGAGGACAGAAATGTTGACAAGACCACGACAGGGGCATTCGCTCTCCCCACAGGAGGACTGATAAGGTAAATTCGTCAGGCACTCTTAGTCGGTCGAACACGGGAAAATGGACCCTCCCCCGTACTACGTGTGGTCATACGCTAAGCTTGATAGGGATACCTGTTCCCGTGTCCAAACCTTAACCCTTACACTACCTTCTGGACTTTAAGGCTGTAATACGGGTATTCCATAGTCCCGTGCCCTATACATGATGGCGGCTGGATATTGATGAGACACTAGAGGGGCGTCGACGATGACAACAACAACAATTTAATGATGCGCTCATCGTCGGACCGGTTCGAGCAGGTGACCAGAACAGACAGAGGGCGCGCCTAGAGAGCAGGAGGACGAAAGGACAAAATCGTGGCCAGTTTGGGCGGTCACAAGAGTGAGAATGAGGGTGAAAGAAGAACGTTCAGTGAGCCTGTCCTCTAGGCTGCCCAAAGCAGTGAAGGCAGCAGAGGACTATACTTATCCACAACCATCGAGGGTGCAACCTTGTCCCCAAATAGAGGTCAAAAGTAAGAAGTCTTGATTGGAGAAAGCTAGGTCATAGGGTCCTCAGTTGAACAGAAGTTCTTAGAGGCCGAAGGAAGGGCGTGGTCAAAACACACATTTGGACTTATAAATAGCAACTCAAATGAGCATTCTTTGCTGCGCGGGGACATGAAAGTTCGACGCCCACCGTGTGCCCCACGGGGTGGACGCAGCGGCGGTTGACTTGCGAGAGAATGTGTTTATAATGAGGCTGACTTAGGTAGAATACGCGGTAACCTCTCTTGCCTTGCTCAAATGGTAAGACAACGTCAGGACGACCGGAGGCTGGGTGCCGATAAGGCGCCGCAACCCGTCTACGCGCCCACACACGAGCTGTCCCCCAAACTGCGATCCTTCAGCCGATCTAAAATACTCAGCACGAGTTATCCCGCCAGGTGGGAACCTTTCAATTCACGATTTTATGCCGTGTCGTTGGAAATTTGAGCGTCTCAGTTTTATTTCAACGAGTTTTTTGACGTGTCGAGAAGATGAGTTCCTCGTAATGAGGACTACGGCATATAAAACTGGCAGACGGTTACCTGGTGGAGGTCGGAGCCTACACATCCATGGAGAAAAGAGAGCAAAATTATGCTTGTGCCTGAGAGCCAGAGGAGGCATCACTCACCATCGACATCCGCCTCGGCGATCATTTGTTTCACCTCGGCCGGGCTGCTTTTGATGCCCAAAAAGTTGAGAACAGAGTTTAATTCTGCCTCGGTGATTCTGCCATCGTGGTTGACGTCGAAGAGGATGAACGCGTCGTGGAGTTCTTCAGAGGCAGAAGCACAGAAAGAGAAAGAAAGAGAACAATGAAGATGCCTCGATATGGGCGATAGAACAGCGGAAGAAATGAGCTGATTTTTAGAGAAACAAGCGTAGAGAGGATTTTCGACGTCCGCGTGGGGGCAGTCACACAGTTTAAAGGGTCATTCTCCGGATCGGCGGGACTTTCAAGGTAGCCTCTCGACTGCTGAGACTTTTTAAGGTAATGCTGGTTCACAGACACACTCCTTCGTCACTTTGGTGCACGACGCTGACACGGCCAACAGGACTAACCGCAGAGACGATGAATCAAAGAGGTTAAGGAGTAAGGTCTATGGCTGCAAACCCGACGGCAGGTCAGTCAACTGAAGGCAGAATACGCCGAGATAAATCCCCAGGTTGCCACGCATAGGAAGGAAAGAGAGTCCACCTTTGACTTCCATTGTGCACCATATTAAACGAACTGTCAATGCTGGGGGACTGGTTCTCTCATGCAGACTCGTAACAAGCGCGTAGAATTCGGGAAGGCGCATGTGCAACGACCGCTGAGATAACTTCGTAAGACCTGACAACAGCTGACAGCGCAGGCCAGGGAATAGTTAGCAGAATATGCGACAGCGATTAACACCTAGCACTACTAAGCTACCAGCCCGACAGTAGTGGTATTAAAAACAGTCCACCAGCGAGTGACGCCGTAGGGCCGCTATCATCGACACAGCAACTTACTTAACTTGTTGCCAGTTTCAAGGCAAAAACGATGCCTGTCTGTTGCAGTCAGTCGAGAGTGCGGACGTGGGGACGAAGCTGAACTAGCTGGGAGGCCATCTCCTTTGGCCGCATGGCCAGAAGTGCTCTCGAAGTCGGCTATAATCATTTAATTACCTGACTCCAACGACGCAGTCGCCAACCGCAATGACACGAAGTTTCCGAGCACCTCGAGTTAAGGTCAGCGCAACGCATGACCAAGTCGTCTCATTCGGTAAGTGAGGGGGAGCGTAATATCAAAGTTCGACCGTCGCATCCGACGATGTACCCAGCGTGCTCCACAGCAAGGTGAAGCAGGCACGGCGTGAATTAGTTTATAATGAGAGCAGACTTGCGCAGAATCTACCGCACTCTTCCCTCATCCCCCACTTAGGCCCGGTGTAAAGACCGGAGGCGGGAGATGGCGCAGGTTGCTGGCACGGCCGGACCCACACCTTGGCGTGCCAGTCCACACACCCTGGTCCACGAAAAAACGCTTCCGCCAGAATTTTGACCAACAACAACAGAAAGGACATGGATGACTGGGCGGCCATTCACACGACCTGTATATGCAGCGGGAGCGCAAGCGCAGGAGAACTGACGGCACCCACCAGGCTGTAAAGGGCCTTGGTCATGGACCTGAGGGAGGACGTAATTAACTGGTTCCTGGAATAGTCGCTCGTCCGAAATGTAATCGGAATGACAAGTATGGATACGTTCAAGCGGCGAGGGTCTTCTGGCCGTTCATATTTTCGTACAGAAGAGGAAACCTCGTACACTCATGCCCTAGTCCTCAGGCTAGCCTCTGGCCGATTCCAGTGGGGTTTAGACCAAGTTAGACGAGGTCCATGCACGCCCTGCTTAGCAGAGAGATCGACTTACGATGGCAGAAAGTGTCAATCAGAGAAGTTCGCCGTCCATTGTGACTTGAGGAGTATCTCTGGAGACGACATTGAGAAGTATACCCATGCCTCATATTATGGGCTGAGTGGATGTAAGGTGTTCCCTACAACAAAATGGCCCCATGTGGCTAAGGGAACGATGCTTTTCACTCTCCTTGCATAACTGTTTGGTGAGATATACGAATAGGAAGCCCCCGGAGTGATACACGTGGCTATGCACCAAATGGCAGGAAGGGCGCCTATTTCCGCGTTATAGCCTTGGTCCTGACACACCAACCCCGTCTTAACCCTACTTCCAACCCTAACCTCCTTGGAAAATAACGCACGGAGAGGCCGGATTCCAAGTCCTGTGTACTGTCAACCATTCTTTCGAAGTCAACAGGCTATCCGGCTGAGGAAGAAAGTGTGACGGGCAGTTGGGATGAATCAGAGCATTGGGCATGGACAGTTTGAGTGCACTCAGATAATTCTGAGTGGCCGTCGGACGGCTGGAACAGAACTGCGAGCTCAGGAACTGGGACACTGAGGTGTCTGTGCTCTAACTGCCTTGTACTTTCTTCCGTGCTGTGGTGTAATGGCGGATTTTAGGGAATATACCCCTACTGTGCGAAGGGTTCGGAGCAAATGCGGTCTATGGGCAAGAAGAACACCTAAAGTTCCCTGGTTGAGTGAAAACCATAAATGGGACCGCATGAAGTAAACTTTGCTACAGTGCGTCTTACGTTCTTATAAATGCAGCAAAGCCACTCAGATCGAGGATTCCCGGGTTCCCACCGAGACATGATTGACGGACCGGACCCGGAGGTCGAACGGCAGACAATTCTGTAATGGAATGGGTATCTCGACTACGCGTGATTATGGAGACTTTATTTCTGTTTCGGCTATTGACCGGGATCTCAGGAGAGATGATTCCGACATTCATTCGTAATAATGTTAGGGATCAGTGCTACTTTGACAGTTCGAGCGTCGTCGTCGACGATGTCCACCGTGTGCTACAGAGCAAGGTGAGAGCCAGGACAACGATTTGCGCGTGGGTTAGTTCGTAGTGGCAGTGAAGTTGCACAGCACCTCCACCCCGCCTGAGTCCGGTGTTAAAACACAGTCATGAAGATGGAAGGTGGGAGAGGGCGCAGATCGCTGGCGCGGCCGGACCCGTACCTAGACGTACAACCACATCCCCTGGTCCACAACAAACACTTGACCGGGAGTTTAACCAACAACGACAATGAGTCAGATAGAGGAGAATGACACAAGTCACTGGGCAACCATACACCTTACTAGTGACGTATTTGCATTTACTCTCAACAGCGCAAAGCCCTCCGGGGTCGATTTTCCGGGATGACAAGGCAGTGCTGTTACGGTCTCTCCTAATATCAGACGCCTCTCATGGCCTACAAGGTCTCCTGGACTCAATTCAAAACGGCATATTTGAGAGTACCTTCAACCGATGATTTTCGGATTTCCTCGAACTACAAGGTCTATTCCGATTCCGGCTCGGTCCTGCCAATAGCCGGGAGATATGACGAAGTAAAAGGGAATTTCGCATTTCATTGACAGCATCTGGAGTCGAGTAAGACTTCTACATCTACATAAGGGCGAGTCCACTTGACGCCAATAAGTGCTAGGAAGGGGACGTGATTGCTGGCACAAGAATTTTATTCGCCTGGCGTTCGAGACTCATACTCGAGTCTATTATCAGAGACAACATCGGATAGGGGTAATAAACACGCAGTGAACACACGTCTCCTTTCTCTTTACTGCTTTCGGGATCCGCATTCCGCTCGTGGGTGAATGACCTACAATTCACCCCACTGGTCACCAGTTGGCTCACCTTGAAGGCGATTGTTCGAAACCAAGGATAGCTTAGAGGGTATGGCGTTCACTGATTTAGCATAGTTCGCCGCGGGTCCAGTTTTGACCAGAAGTGCATATGGAACAGTGAGCTTCGACAAAGATGCCCATCAGCACCGCGACTGACCACTAGAGTAGTACAGACCCTTAAAGCACAAAACACCGACGAGGGCTGCCAGTGCCTGTTGAAAAACCCGACTAGTCACGTAGGTAGAGAGAACGCAATCCTGGCGGATGCCGGAAGTGATATCAAAAAGGCCCCATTCTGGCCCTTAATACGGACTTTGGCCATTGTGACGGCAGGCTAGGATCGGGCGGAAAAAACGTCACACCTCGATCCACCACAACAACTGTTGTGGGGTTGACGTTACAGCCCAGGCGGCCAGCAGTTGGAACAGCCTCTTGAGAGGTCAGAAGAAAAGCTGGCTGGTCAACCCCGTCCATGCTGTACGCAAATGCAACTATTTTTTCCTCGTGCCTGTTCTCACAGAACGTCCGGCTGTTCCAAACGTCAGGACGAAGTAAATTAGGACAAGGGTAGTTCGGGAAGGCGGAGAGGGATGGTCCTGGTCGGAAATGGTCACAAAATCAGTCCGGTGCAACAGCGTGGTCTCCCAAGCCAGCCTCACGACTGGCTTCGACGCGAGTCATGAGAAATTGTGTCCAAAAGTGCAAACGTTGCTCTGACTCCACCTGGACCCCATCTGAGCCTTCCAAGCGGCATGCTGCTCGGAGAGGTTGTCGTAAAATCCTCAAGCGACAATATTCGGGACGTGAAACGATGCTAACTACGCCTAAAAGGGGCAAACTCCGGATAGGATAATTCTAGCAAGGCAAGCATCACCCGTGACTCTCAAGTGAAACGGAAGGTGTGCTGCACAAAATTTGCGTGCGCGTAGTTGCGCTAGGCGAACACGGGATGTAGATCGCAGTCTGGAAGGCGTTATCGGAAATGTACACCCAAAATCTGGGGTGTGGTGGTAGCTTATGCGTGGACTTCCGCCGCGACCCCTGGAATTTGTGCCACCTCCCTTTTTTCCCGGTGTATGAAATCCCAGCACGTGTACGATGGGGACCCAGGGGGCGTGGTGGTACACCTAGGCACGGGTTTAAGCTGTGCCAGTCAACTGCGCCCTCTCCTGCTTGCAGTCTTTCCACTTTTGCCATGACATCGGATCCAGATGAGAGATAAAGAGATAGTGAGGTAGATGCCGTGCAAGTCTACCATCACTATAAACTAATTCACGTGCATTTTACCGTTCCTGCTCTCACCCTGCTGTGGAGGACACGGTGGTCATCGTCGAAACCGACGGTTGAACTGTCGTTTTTGAGCTGAATACTCTTGCAAACATTACAACTTATAAGAGTATAAGATATCAGACCTCAACCCTGGTTTCCTCAGTTCTTTATAAAGCAAGTACTTTAATGGTAAACTGGATTCATAAAAGCGGACTTATCAAATCCGATTTGAAGCCTTACAGTCACCCCGCATGTCAATGCGTCCTAATGACCTCCTCGCTGAAACCATCATCCCAGTGTCAAAGGGCAGCGAAAAGAACGATAAGGGTGTTATTTGCGCTGAGGCGAGGATTTGTGCAGATCGATAAAGAGCTGTTTTGGAAAAACCTATGGGACATTCGACCGGTCTCAAGTAGAGTATGCGGTCCAGACCTAGCGACCGTGGTTGAGGAAAGACTATCAACGACTGAAAAGAGGACAGGCGATGGCTACGAAGATGGTCAAGAATCTTCGTCATCTGCCTTACGAAACCAAGCTGACCGAATTAAATCTGTTTACTTTCAATTACAGGCAACTGCGCGGCGATCTCATTCAAACCTACAGGATTGTCAGAGGCCGTGAGTCCGCCCTAGACTTTGATGAATTCTTCGAATTGGCCGGGACTGACCGTCTGCGTGGTCATCCCTTAAAACTGCGGAGGAAGCTGGCTCATTCGGACGTCCGACGGAACGCCTCCTCTCGCAGGGTCATTGGGGCACAGAACGGACTCACTGATGCGGTGGTTCATTCCGAAACTGTCGAATCCTTTAAGTGTAGACTAGATGCTCATTTGCTGAGAAACTACTGTACATATAATCACGATTGTTTTAGCGGCGGCAATTTGCGCCTGGCTCACACTTACCCCTAACGTTTGAATTACCGCATTTGCTGATGTAATTGATGATTATATTTCTGTTTACCGATATGAATGGGGAGTTCAAGGGCGAAAGCCTCATTCCCTTAATAAACTGACTACTTTCCGAGTCTGCGGGACTATGCGCCAACCAGAGTCAGGACAGATCCCTTAACCTGCAGGACTAGCGTAGTTGAGGTTGCCCAAACTTCTCTCGTATGTAAAGGGGAGATAGCGGACGAGCGGGATTAACACCACAGATCGCAGGCTGGTGGTGGAGTAGACAAGCCAGCAGACTTCGAAAAAGAAGCACCGAAAACGTGCAGTATTCTCCAGTCTACCGCGTTTCACCATGTCAAATCGACTGGAACATCGTCAGTGGGGGCGGGCAAAGGAGGAGAAGTCAGCTGTTGAAGCGTGTCCGGTGCAGATTTAGAACAAAAGGCTTCTATAAAAGACCGTAATTTTACTTGGATGGGCTGAGAACCGAAGGTATCGTTCGTCTTTTCCTTCGAGAGGAGGAAGAACAGCAGGCTTAACAAAAACGATAGAAAATGGATTCCCGAAATGCGCCAACATCTGGCTCTATTCGCAAACAGAACGAAGCACTGTCGGAAAGGGCGATTGGTGAAAAAAAAAGACGAGAATGCATTCTGTTTTGGGATTTGTGGTCACCAAACACATCAAATAGTAATTCACTTTCCGCCAGTATGCGTCAAAACCCATTAAACGCTGACTCACAGCATTAGCTACAGCCTCAGTAAAAAGCGGTTGCAATAAGATTTAGCAGGCATCGCGAGCCCATTTGTGCACAACACAGCGCTGGCCTTCAGTTGAGCAGGCTTTTGGGGAAAAAAGCTAGCACTTAAGCAGTGCAATATTTCGATTATTTGCGACCTCTTCATAAATTCACTCATATTTCCGAGAGAAGATGCATGAAAATCATGTTGAAGGGTTCACATGCGTCTCCTCTAACGGAACTTAAGCCAGACTTCCGCTTTGCTGCTCTCTCTCATCCTCTGAGGCGAATTCGTACAACTTGTTATCTTCATAGTACACTGCAGTGAATGTGAGCTAGCCTGAATAATGCAGGAGCAACAGTAATTAGTCTGCAGATGGTAGATAACACAGGCAATCAAGTCAGCCGCCTCTCCCCACTTCCCCCAATTACAGATTTCGCCAGAAACGATAAAAGGCACCTGCCTACGCATAATACGTAAGACAGAAACTTTAGTTCATTTCTACTAGGATGTGTATGAGGATATTGTTTGGAAAATACAGACCGTAGTAGCAGACTCAGTAGAGCGCGGACTCACCGCAGCCCGATAAACGCGCCCCGTGACTTCGCTTCTGGCCGCCGCGGAGCAACATCTGCCCGTCGTGGGGAGCATGCGCACTGCTCTGAAGATTCCCTCTCCTCCCTCCTAGTGGGAAGACAGAGTCGGGACGACCAGAGACTACACCTGCACGTGCCACAAAGACGAGCTGGTCCAAGCTTGGTGGCACCAGGCTACTGTAGGCGCCATAAAGGCCACATGGAAAGGGAGTCAATTACCGCCTGACTCAGTTGATTGTCCTCCAAACCAGAACTCCTAGTGCGTTGTCATGCATTCAAGCGCGTTGGTTTGTCGTGGCGATGGACTCCACCGTGTTGGTCCGGTCAACTGCCCTAGACTATCAATCAATGGACAGCGCGATTGGACGCGGAGGTCGGCGTATAAAAGGCGTGAGATCCCACACGCACGTTCGGGGTCGCGCAGCCGGATAAACGCATCCTGATTGCCACGGAGGAGCGCCTTGTGGGGACCGCCCACCCTCCCATAATACAATTAGGCTTCACGTACAAGTCCACCGACGATGGAGAGATCAAACGACCGTCCTCATCTGACTTCGCCCATCAGGCAGGGGAGTGCAGTGGCTGTGGTGAGTCAATCAAGGAAGAGAGGTGGAGGCCAGGCGATGGCAAATGTCGAATGACTACCACGTACGACCCTTACCTCCCCGTGGCAAAGAGGTACAAGTACTGTAATAGTAACTGGCATCCTTCGCCGAGGTCCGGTACTAGAGCAGTTGCAAATAGAAGCGAAGAAACGAGTTCCAGGAAGTAGTCTTGAAGAAGGGGACACGATCGCTGGGACAAGAGCTTTATTAGCCTGACGTTTCGGATTCCTGCTCGAAGCCATCATCGGAGACAGAAGCAGATACGGGTGCTCCTTCTGTCTCTGACGATGGGTTCGAGCGGGAATCCGAAACGTCAGGCCAATAAAGCTCTTGTCCCAGCGATCGTGTCTCCTTCTTCAAGACGAGAGCAGTTACTTTTGCCGTCTAGGTTAACGGCTAACGAAACAATTGCGGCGATCAGCTCGCATCCAGGTCAAAACGTTTGCAATGG